TAAAACCACAACGGCTAATTAATGCTGGTGTTGGTTCTGTAACGTCCTGTAAAGAATACGCAACAAACTGATGCATTAAGCGGTAAAAGGGAAGGTGAAGAAAAAGAAGAATGCTAAACTACCTTTTGAGACACTGAGGTGAGTACTCGCACCTTTTGAGACAGTGAGGTGAGTACTGGCACTTTTGAGACAGTGAGGTGAGTACTGGCACTTTGAGACACTGAGGTGAGTACTGGCACTTTTGAGACACTGAGGTGAGTACTGGCTCTTTTGAGACACTGAGGTGAGTACTGGCACTTTTGAGACACTGAGGTGAGTACTGGCACCATTTGAGACACTGAGGTGAGTACTGGCACTTTTGAGACACTGAGGTGAGTACTGGCACTTTTGAGACACTGAGGTGAGTACTGGCACTTTTGAGACACTGAGGTGAGTACTGGCACCTTTTGAGACACTGAGGTGAGTACTGGCACCTTTTGAGACACTGAGGTGAGTATTGGCATTTTAAAGACACTGAGGTGAGTACTGGCACCTTCTGAAACACTGAGGTGAGTACTGGCACCTTCTGAGACACAGGTGAGTGCTGGCACCTTTCGAGAAACTGCGGTGGGTACCGGCACCTTTTAAGACACAAAGGTGAGTAACGGCACCTTTTAAGATACTGAGGTGAGTAATGGCACCTTTTGAGACACTGAGGTGAGTACTGGCACTTTTGAGACACTAAAGTGAGTACTGGCACCTTTTGAGACACTAAGGTGAGTACTGGCAGCTTTTGAGACACTGAGGTGAATACTGGCACCCTTTGAGACACTGAGGTGAGTACTGGCACCTTTTGAGACACTAAGGTGAGTACTGGCACCTTTTGAGACACTAAGGTGAGTACTGGCACCTTTTAAGACACTAAGGTGAGTACTGGCACCTCTTGAGACACTAAGGTGAGTACTGGCACCTTTTAAGACACAGATGTGCGCCGGCACCTTTTAAGACACTGAGGTGAGTACCAGCACTTTTAAAACTTGGAGGTGAGTACCGGCACCTTTTTAAACACTTAAAGAAAGGAACCCCCACCTTTTAAAAATGTTGAAGTGTGTACCATCACTGTTATGTCCAGAAAAAAAAAAAAAAAAACTACTTAAAAAGCATCCCAGACAAGAAAATTTGCAACGAAAATATTCAACACTTACACGTCATCAAGGAACCACGATCCTAAAGCTATCAAGACTCATCAACAGCCCTCAGTGAGGGCCATTAAGGCTCTCAGCTGACGACAACGATCAAGTGGTGCTACATAAGTACAGTTTGCTCACGACGTACTTCAGCCGAGACTTAACTGTCTAGTCTTCTCTATTGTTTTTGTCTGGTCAAGTACTCTCTCTCTCTCTCTCTCTCTCTCTCTCTCTCTCTCTCTCTCTCTCTCTCTTTCTGACACACATCCGTCTATCATTATCTCTGAGTTGTTAAGCTTTCTCTTTCAATCACCTGTCTATCTCTATCAGTTGGTAATTTTTCTCTTTCTCTCTTAATAGTCTTTCATTCTTTTACAGTTGTTAATTTATCTCGCAATCGTCTATATTTGCATGTCAGATTTGTGTCTTCGTCTCTCAGTCGTTTATATTTCTATCGTAGTTGTCTATCTCTGTCTCTCAGTCGTCTGTATTTCTCTCAGTCGTCTGTATTTCTCTCAGTCGTCTGTATTTCTCTCAGTCGTCTGTATTTCTCTCAGTCGTCTGTATTTCTCTCAGTCGTCTGTATTTCTCTCAGTCGTCTGTATTTCTCTTCTCTCAGTCGTCTGTATTTCTCTCAGTCGTCTGTATTTCTCTCAGTCGTCTGTATTTCTCTCAGTCGTCTGTATTTCTCTCAGTCGTCTGTATTTCTCTCAGTCGTCTGTATTTCTCTCAGTCGTCTGTATTTCTCTCAGTCGTCTGTATTTCTCTCAGTCGTCTGTATTTCTCTCAGTCGTCTGTATTTCTCTCAGTCGTCTGTATTTCTCTCAGTCGTCTGTATTTCTCTCAGTCGTCTGTATTTCTCTCAGTCGTCTGTATTTCTCTCAGTCGTCTGTATTTCTCTCAGTCGTCTGTATTTCTCTCAGTCGTCTGTATTTCTCTCAGTCGTCTGTATTTCTCTCAGTCGTCTGTATTTCTCTCAGTCGTCTGTATTTCTCTCAGTCGTCTGTATTTCTCTCAGTCGTCTGTATTTCTCTCAGTCGTCTGTATTTCTCTCAGTCGTCTGTATTTCTCTCAGTCGCCTGTATTTCTCTCAGTCGTCTGTATTTGTCTCAGTCGTCTGTATTTCTCTCAGTCGTCTGTATTTCTCTCAGTCGACTGTATTTCTCTCAGTCGTCGTCTGTATTTCTCTCAGTCGTCGTCTGTATTTCTCTCAGTCGTCTGTATGTCTTTCAGTCGTCCTATCTTTGTCTCTCAGTCGTCCCATATTTGTCTCTCAATCGTCCCATCTTTGTCTCTCAATCGTCCCATCTTTGTCTCTCAATCGTCCCATCTTTGTCTCTCAATCGTCCCATCTTTGTCTCTCAATCGTCCCAATTTATATCCCAATCGTTCATGTTTCCATCTCCTTTGTCTATCTTTGTCTCTCATTCGCCTATATTTCTATCTCAATCTTTGTCTCTCTCAATCATCTATATTTATATCTCAGTCTTTGTCTCTCTCAGTCATCTATATTTATATCTTAGTTGTTTATATTTATAATGTAGTTGTCTATCTTTGTCTCTCAATCGTCTCTTTTTTTCTCAATCGTCGTTCTCTCCCTCACCCTGTCGTCTACATTTACATCTCTAGTATGCCTGCCACTCATACTTATCTACTGTCTCTTTATTCCTTCATTATCTCTCTGGTATTTATGTAACAGGGAGACGTCATCACTTGTTTGTTAGGATGTAGGTTATTGCGCAAAATTATGATGTACGGGAATCAACAAGTTTTGGCAGTCTTAGCATTTTTTTTCTTTTTCTAGAAACTTCTTCTGTTATTAACAGAGAAAAGTTTTGCAACTGAATAATCTATAAATAGTATTTGACATCATTGTTGACCTGCCCTGTCAAAGTGAACGTAGTAGTACTGGCGTTCAGGAAGTATCTATGAAGTCAGCTGTCAATTTAATTACTATATTTGCACAGAATAAGATGATGAAATCTGGAGCAATTGAGATATAATTAGAAAATTCCACGTGAGAACGTACATAGTAAACAAGTTGAGCATTCAAGAATATTCTAGAAGAGTAGAAAACACATTTACCGCATTCCAGCACCTCATCAAGTAAACAAACGGCCAACGAAGCGAAAGAAAACTGACCACCTGCAAAATGAGACGTTTTGAAAAGGGCCGTAATCAAAAACTAAAAGAGATCATGTGAGAAAGGAAGAAATTACAAGAACTATTGGAACAACCCCTACACTTAAATTCAATGAAAAAGGCATTGTTGTGTTATTTAATGAGAATGAGACAATGATGCTAGCAGCCTGAGCGTGCAACATGAAAGTAGAAACATCAAGATGTAGGGGAAGAACAAGAAGAAGATGAGATTGAAGGATTCTCTCATAGCTTAAGACTCCAAAAGTTCACGGCATACCGGACAACTGAGTATGCCCTAGCTCGGATATCGACAATCTGTTAACCTGTAACGCATACGGCGGAAAGAAGAATATGGACAACAGAAAGAAAAGAGAGATAATAACAGAATTTTAAAAAATACACAAAATCTCTTGACATATAAGTTGAGCAGGTCTCACAGAAATATCCATAAGACAATTGGGCAGTAGAATCTCTGAGGCACGTGTGATGCCGGAAGTGGGCATTGGACATGAAGATGCGTTAACTTGCGAGTTACGACAAGGGTGTCGAGGAATGTAAAAATGTTTTTGTTAACACTTACCTACATACTCATTTGTTCTTTTACTCACCCACCCGATCAATTTATTCATATTTTCACTCACTCTATAATTCATTCATTCATTCATTCAATGCTGAATTTGCGGTATTTTTTTCTGCAGACTGACCCAATACGCCATGGAGACGAAAAAGGCACATAAGCAACTGAACACATTTAGCAACCAAAGACGCTCTGCTAGCAACACTACCGGACTTAGCGCAATAAACAATACTACCAGTGACGCAGACCCCAGCTTAGTCAATGTGGACATTCTATCAACAGTTTCCGATACGCTTATGCTGCCGAATTCGGTAGCGGCCACTAGTGAGCATATCTCGGCCGATGTAATGAGTTCTTTGCAGACTTTTGCAGTATCCGAGTCGTTACTTCCAGCAGCGGCCCCTCGGTCTACCTCACAAGTACGTCTCTCAAGGCCTCGGCTCAAAATATCCGACCATGACCACATGACTATCACCATAGTAACAGATGATGACGACGTATCCACAAGTTCTACTGACATGGATCGCCCGCCACGGGAGAAAGGTACTCGAAGAGTAAGAAGGGTTAGAAAATGTCAGAGGCAAAAACGGGGACATTCTAAAGGTGCCAGCAGATCAAAGTCGCAAAAATCATCATCAGTTTACAGAGCTGTTTCTGTAGCAGACGATCATGGCTCGCCCAAACTTTCCATCCCGTGTTCACAGAAAGGCAACAAATCCAGCGATAGTGATGATGAACAATATGTGACCACTTCGGGCGACCGTACTTCATATCCAAATTATGATAGCCCTCAAGGACCATCATATGAATCGGCAAACTCGTACACATGCAACCAACAAGAAGTTATACTGAACGGAAACAGTCCAACTTTCTCACAATTACCGCTTTTGGATACACGAGGCATAACTTCACAAGAGACCAGATATGGCCCAAAATGTAACCCCGATAAACATTCGAACTATAATGACGGCAGCAAGATTACAGAAATTTTCAAAGAGAAGCTCTTTCCAGAAAACCACAGTACGCTTAATTCTTTTAGCATCATGGATGATTCATTAACTCCATCATCTACAACATTTGACAGACCGATAAACGGCACACATGACAACCCACATATGGGCGAATGCCAGGAAACAAATCAGATCACTGTCAACAATTCCTGTGACAAAAACACAGAGCCACTTCTAGTTTGTATTTCACCTGAGCAACCAGAACAGAGCAGTTGGCGGGAAAACGGTTATCTCGCAGATACGGAAAATATATTTTCCTGCTCCACATTTTCCAGACTTAGCAGTCCCTTCCACCGGAAGCGGAAGTCACATGATCAGTTTGACCCAGTAGCGTGTGATGTTTCGCATAAAAGATCTTCCTCATCTCTCTCAGATGACTGCTCCAAGGCCAGCCCAGTTTTTCAGGAAAGAATCAAACCGGCGACTTCGGCGTCTCTAGGGTTATTTCGCATACGTCAAAGTAGAGTGGTTCAGCGGGCAGTGCATCTGACATATTTGTTGACGTTTCTATTCATGTTCGCATCCTTGCTGCAGCTGTACACAGTGTTTGGTGTGTATGGTGTTCTTGGGACAAACCCTCGACCGGACCCTTGGCCCTGGCTGCTCCTGCACACAATATTTCGGTGAGTGTTTATGTGTGGGATGTTTGGTTGCTGTGTTTTGGATTTGCTGTGCTGTATTGTTGTATTGTTATGGTTGCTCTGTTGTGTTGTACTGTTATGTTTGTTGTGTTGTTGCATTGCTGTGGTAGCCGTGTTGTTGTGGTAGCGGTGTTGTTATGGTTGTTGTATTGTTGTGGTTGCTGTGTTGTGGTTGCTCCTTTGTTGAGTTGTACTGGTATGGTTGCTATGTTGCTGTGTTGTTGCATTGTTGTGGTAGCTGTGTTGCTGTATTGCTGTGGTTGCTGTATTGTTGCGGTTGCTGTGTTTGCTGTGTTTTTGTATTGTTGTGGCTGCTGTATTGTTGTTTTGTTGTGAATGTTGTGTTGTTGTAGTTGTTGTCGTATTCTTGTGGTTGTTGTATTGTTGTAGTTGCTGTATTGCTGCGGTTGCAGTGTCGAGGTTGCTGTGTTGTTGTAGTCACTGTGTTGTTACTGTTGCGGATGCTGAATTGTTGTGGTCGCTATTGTGTCGTCCTGAATAAGTATTCTCTAGACCTTGTTTTTTTTATATTGCTGTTAATGTTGCGGCTTCTGTTGGTGTTGTCTACAATGTTGTTTTGACGTTGATGTTGCATGGCTGCAGCTGTTATTATTATGATTATTAACTGTTTTTGCTTCTCAAGCTTTTGTGCAGTTGCCGCTTTGCACCAATTGTCAACCCGGGCGAAACATGATTGACAGGGGCAGTAGAATCCACACGAGGAAGCTAGAATCCATCCAAGTCGTTGGGAATTCCCATAAACGAAGCAATCAAATGAGCTCTTTCAAGCTGTTGTATACTTTACACTGACCAGCCTTGCAAGGTCAAGCGGACTAGGATGATATTTGAGGACGTGCTGTAATATGAGACGAGGTGTCCTAATCTACAGGGACCTTGTTGTTTCCGTCTTTCTATCAGATGTGCTGTTAAAGCTCTGGGAAAGCACGGGGTTTGAGGCCCAAGGCGAGTGGGACTAGCAAGACCCACTGCACACAGCCTGGGCAGTATTGTACAGGATATATCTTGCCCATGCTGCATGATCCGTCCCTCGACATTCCTTGTTGACCTTATAAGGAAAGTACCACCAGTACGCTGGGAACAAAACGCGCCACAGAAGGTGCCAATTTAGAAGAGCAGTACTATATTTGTTCACCTGTCAGAGTTCCTTTCATAGACCAGCTGCCAGCAGTGTTGCCACTTTTCTTTGACAAAAAAAAACACATCCGAAACGGACTCAAAAATATCTAAAAACATCTAAATTTGCGTAGGAAAACATCTAGAAAAAACATCCAAATGGAAAAGAGTCACAAATTACCTAGCAATTGATATGACTTACCTTCTTCTTCTTCTTCTTGTGTTCGCTTTCTGATTTACACCGACAGACAGGTTCTTGTGATAAACTTGACTGTTTTTATGAGTTCATTTTATTCCCATACAACTTTGTGTGCTGTGGTGACTCACGGGGCCAGTATTCTCTTCTTAATAAGCTGAACAAGGGACATTCTTGCAGGACATGTTCTGTAGTCTGCACACATAGACCACAAGGGCACACAGATGAACTACTTAGACGAAGCCTGTGCATATGCTGGTTAAGTTTGTTATGTCCTGTCCTGAGACGTAGGATAATGACCTGCCCATGACGGTCAAGTAAGTGGTAGTCATCTCTGGCCAGACTCTGTTCACTTATAATAGCCTGGATGGCCCTTTTCTTCTCATAGTATGTTACTGTATTCTCTTCCTGGTCACATTCGGCCCCTTTTTTAGCAAGTTTATCTGCGGTTTCGTTTCCTGGTATACCACAGTGGGATGGCACCCATTGGAGTACAGTACACTTTTGGGCAGCCACCTTGCCAAGTTCAGTTCTCAAGTGAGGGAGTTTGCCACTCTTGAGGGCTTGAAGCACTGATAGCGCATCTGTGAATATGACCACTTGGTGGCAATCAGAACTGGTGTTGTGTAACATTTCGGCAGCCTGCTCTAGTGCTAAAATCTCTGCTGTGTAGTTAGAACAGAATGTACCCGTGGGTATCCACTTTGTGTGGCGGTGGTTGTCTGGGTATTTAATAAAGATGCCAACACTCCCCCGATTTTTAACCGCAGTGGTTGCTGATCCATCTGTGTAAGTATGTAACCACGACTGCTCCTGATAGTTTTCCTGAATCATGCTAAGAGCAGCTGTTCGTTTTTGAAGATCATTGGCCTCATCTCCAGTTGTGAATCCATTGACTGAAGTCATTATCTGTATTGTATCACTGACTTGCTCCCAAGATACAGGGTATAGGGTAGGTTTCAGCGGTGTTGTTCTAATAGGTAGATCAGCTTGATACTGTCTTCTAAGATTTTTACCCCGATGGACAAAGCTGCTACGTTTGAAACATTTTCTATATGTTTGCTCCACGTGAGCCTTTTATCAAATGTTACTCCAAGGTAGATCAGCTTGATACTGTCTTCTAAGTTTTTTACCCCGATGGACAAAGCTGCTACGTTTGAAACGCCCTAATGCCAGATCATCTAACCTTCCATTCATTGGGTGTGACTACATACTATTAAACATGTCCATCTGGATCATAGTTTTAGTGTCTCTTCTAGAGGACAGTGTCTGCATTGCAGTTATTTTCTGCATCTTCAGGATTGGTGCAGTTTTCATGGATCCTGTGATGAGTCTAAGAGCTTGATTTTGCACTCTGTCTAACGATTGTAGATGGGAATTAGCAGCTGTTGACCATGCTGTTGCACCAAACTCTAAGTGGGGTCTTATCGCTCCATTATAAACTTTCTTTAAGGTTTTTCCATTCGCTCCCCATCCTGTACCTGCCAGTTTTCTAAGTAGGCCTAGTCGTCTCCTGGCCTTCCCTTCTACATTTTCTATATGTTTGCTCCATGTGAGCCTTTTATCAAATGTTACTCCAAGATAAGTGGGAAAGCTTTCTTCCTTTAGCAAGGATGTTCCTAGATGAATACTAGCAGCTTTGTCCCTGGGGGAAAGAGAGAAAAGCATTGTGGATGTTTTGTCTGTGTTGATGGCAACATGCCACTTTTCTGCCCATGTCATCAAGAGATCTGCTGCTCGCTGCATTCTTATATTTGCCACTGTGGTGTGTTCATCGGTACATCAGAGTGCCAGATCATCTGCATACAGGGCAGCTTTTACTCCTGTAGGGAGGTCTTTCACCAGATCATTTATATACACAAGAAAGAGAGTTGGAGAGATAACTCCTCCCTGTGGTACTCCTTGTGAAGTAACACTTTTCTACTCTGCTGGCCATCAAGACTGATTCTAGTTCTCCTGCTGTGTAAGAAGGATTGGATCCATTTTAGCATGTTTCCTTGGATTAAATTTCTCTTCAGTTTTGCAATGAGACCATATTTCCAGACTTTGTCAAAAGCTTGTTTGAAGTCAACCCATACCGCCAGGACCTTTTTCTTCTCTTGGAAGGCATCCTCTACAGCTTGTGACAGGTAGGTGACTTGGTCTTCTATGCTGTGACATTCCCTAAACCCAGCCTGCTCTGGCACCAAGATCTGCTCAGATTCTAAGTGCCATTTCAGTCTTGAATTTACAATTCTTTCCAGTGTCTGTCCTACACAGCTTGTGAGACTAATTGGGCGATAGCTCGAAGCCTGGGTCTTAATTTTTCCTTTTTTTTAAATGGGTATTGTGATGGCTTCTCTCCATACTTGAGGCACCAAACCTTTCTCCCAGCTGATGTTGAAAATTTCCAGCAGCTTTACTTTAGCAGATGAGCTCAGGTTGATTAGCATTTCGTTGCTGATTTTATCTGGACCTGCAGACTTTTTTAACTTAAGCCTAAAGATGGCATTTTGTAGTTCACCCATGGTAAATGGCTCCCTCATAGAGGCAGGAGTATCTGTCTGTCTCTTATTTGTTTGTATTTCTTTCCTTATTTCTCTCTGATGGTCCTCATTAAGGGTCAGGTTGCTTTCAACACTATATGTTCTGGCAAACAAATCTGCAGCTTGTTTTCCTCTGAAGATTTTGTCACCATCACTTAGCGTGATTGTTTGTCTAGGAGAGAAACTCTCTTCATTGAGTGATTTGGCTAATCTCCAGAGTTTCTTGCCATCTTTATCAAGGTTTAGAGCTGCTGTTTTATTTCTCCAGCTTTTCCGTTTTTCTTCAAGTTTAGTTCTCTGGAACACTGCTACAGCCTTTTTCTATTTGGTGTGGTTGTCAGGCGAAGGTTGGGATTCTGCATCCTTTCTAGCCTGATTCATTGTTTCCTGGCATTCCTGGAGTGTGCTGGACCAGAACGGTCTATAGTTGTGTCGACAGCCTCTGGGGGATTGCTTCTTTTGCAGCTTGTAGAATACTTCTATTGAAATCGTGCACTATAGCATTGATATCCCTATTTTGTACCTTGAGAGCAGACAACAATGTGCTTGTCCTGTGTCTGTACAGGCCCCAGTTGGCTTTCTTGAAGTTCCATCTTGTGATGACTGGGCCTGTATTAACTGGTACATTCTGGACAGTTAGAAAAATCGGGCGATGGTCACAGCCCCCCAGCTGGTCTCCCACCTCTCTACTTATCATTCCAGATATATCTGAGGTAGAGAAGGCAAGATCTGGGGTTGACGTTGTCTGCCACCTTCTGGGGGGCATTGATCAGGATTAGAGAGTGGTCATCTTGCCATGTTTCCACCTCTTCACCCCTATTGTCGAGATAGTTATAGCCCCAGCTCTGTGAATGACTGTTGAAGTCTCCAACTGCAATAAAGTTGGTATTTGGTACTGACACAGAGCTGAGGTTTAACGATTTGTCACTGGGACAGTAGTAATTAAGGAGTTCTAATTCCACTTTGTTGTCTTAAGCTGCAGGAGTTGGTACTCAGCTCCATCCATATAAGACATTTTCTCACAAGGATGAATACTTTTTTTTTACAAGGGTAAGTACTCCTCCTTTTCGCCTGCCTTGTCTATCAGATCTGAAGCACCGGTAGCCTCTCACTTTAAATATCTGATC